TAAATTTATTATTATAAATTCCTATTACTATTAAAAATCAATTCATGGATTTTTTTTTAAATTCTAGTGACTTAAAATTTGCATGCAAAATAATTAATAAATAAATAAATAAATAAGAAATGAAAATAATAATTACCTTCGACGATTCGAATTCTAAGGAACAGAGTTGAGCACTTTCCCGGGCCGACTTTTAATTTAATGATCCTTGACGCCTACGCGTCGGCGCGCGTAGGCTTATCGTTCCGAATTAATTAACCGAAAAGCGCGCACGACGCCCGCTTCCGCGTTTAACCAGCAAGAGAGCGTAGCATGCGTCACGCGAGTGGCATCGCGCGGTCTCAATCTCCCTGACACATTTTCCAGGTGGCGAACCCCCGGGCACAAGGAGCATCGTGGCTTACTCGTGGGCACGGAGATTGGCACTCGATTACAGACCCTCCAAGGAATGCGACGGTAATGGAACGTACGGAACGACGTTAAATACGTTCAAGTTAGCCGACGCCAAGTGGCTCGAGACGATCCCCGGACAGCTCTTCCTGTACAGTGCCCACTTGGACCTGAGAGTAGCCGGTTACCCGAGCCTCAGGGTGATTGGCGTTAAGCGCGGACCTCTGCCGACTTCTGCCCTTTTCTGCACCGTTTGGTGAGACATTTACCCGAATCGAATCCGATTCACCTTTAATTCCTCCCGCTCGACCGTCCGACGATCTCCCCCCTCCCCCCCTCTGTCTCCCCCGGCATCGCAGAAGTTGTTTCGTTTAAAAGTTTCTCGGACAACGAGACGCGGTGACGTAACCCTGTTACGTACATGGGTCGGTGAACAGCATGTGGGCGTAACTTTAGCAGTAAATTCAGCACGCAGAAAAATTGGGAAAAAAGATTCGCGTAAACACATGGCGATCTGACCTTGTTTCCCAGTTGAAATTGTTACCACGTATCCACGCTTAAGGTCCTCGAATAAAAACAATGCCAAGACGTTCTTGACTCTAAGAAATTTTATTAGACTGTTAAAAAAGTTATTATAAGTCTTCGTTCATTTTTTTTTTTTAAATAATTGTTTTTTTTTACAGTTTTATTACATATAAAAGAAATCGTAAAATAAACAACTAAACTAATTAATTTAAATTAAT